ACATATATATAGTATCATAGATTTGAAAGGACCCTTAAAGAAGGACAACTATATGTTGCTTGTTCCAGAGTAGGCAAACCAGACACTCTCCACATCAACACTTACATAGAAACAACAAGAAATACTATTTACCCACAAGCAGAAAGACATTACATATATTAAAAGCCAACACTTTCTCGTTACTTTAATTTCCAGATCACCAGACTGGGCCACTGCAACGCGTGGCAGGGGACGGCTAGTTCAGGATAAAATTTCAAAACACTGGGAGATAAGACAATGTCAAACATCGGGAGGCGGATCCAGGGATGAGGCAGGATTTAATTGCACGAACAATAAGATAAAGTGCTACTGAGGTCATTTGTGCAAAGTCTTTGGTCAGGGAGTATCTAACATTCAATCACTGAAGGCACATTGGAATAACCTGGTTTTCAGATTCCTCCTGAAGATTGCCAGCGTGGGGGGTTGCCTAATATCTCTGGGGAGTGAGTTCCAGAGCTGGGGGGCCACCGCAGAGAACTCCCTCTGCAGTTAAAATGTATCCGTTGAGGGAACATTGTATTGTTGAACCAAAATAAAAATGAACATTTTTAATGTACTATACAGTAGTTGTCAGTCTATAATAAATATCCCAGCCATTACACACAGGGCCACAAAAAAGGGGCTGTTAAGTACCTGGCTCCCACACATTGTCCAGAGACTGGAACGATCTCTCATGGTAGTTTCCGGACCACTTGGACAGCAGGGACGGTATTACAGCTTCCGCCTACCAGAGGGAACGTGCTTCCAAACAAAAACTTTGCTAGGTCTTACTTTCGAAGGAGGCCTTATATTTAGCAATTTAGAAAAATCTCTCCTAGGTCTTATTTTCAGGGGATGTCTTATTTTCGAGGAAACGGGGTAGATTTACTATTGTAGTTTTAAGGCATTGAATTTTTGCCATTATCTATGTGTAAACCGCTTTGAGTCCCCCTAGGGGTGAGAAAAGCGGTATATAAATACTGTAAATAAACAAACAAACAAACAATTTATTTATTTATTTAGAGCTTTTATCACCCGGTCTTCTCGACCTCCGGAGAGGGACTCAGGCCGGTCCACAACAGAAGATTCATAGACAATAGTATATAATAAATAAATAAATACATGGGCATAGTGCTGGGTAACCACGGAAAAAATTGTTTCTAAACTCGATTAGTTTCCAGGGAGCACTTGCATTTCTAAATTCTAAATACTTCCGAAATTTGAGATTTCAAAGTTTCGTGATTTACGAAATTTTGTTATTAATTACAAATCGTTAATGGCGGATGTGATTGCGCAATATGCTAAAAAATCCTCCAAACGGGACAGGGGGAACTTCTGAAGCTTCCCTCTCCCTCTGTTGTTGACTGTTGGTGTGATAAAACAAACAACAACTATATTATATTATATATTATTATATTACATTATTGTATATTATATTAAATTATTATATATTATATTATATTATATATTATTATATAATATTATTATAATTATAATATATTATTATATTATTAATTATCTTATTATAATTATTATATTATATTAATTATAATATAATTAATTATATTAATATAATATATTATTTATTATATCTTTATAATATATACAATATATTATATCTTTATAATATAATATATTCTATGATATCTTGGACTTCCCCTCAGCACTCTCCCTTTTCCCATCCCACCTCCCCCCTCCTTTTCCTTCCTTTCCCATCCTTCCTTTCCCTTCTGTCTTTCCCTCCCCTTTCTTCCTTTCTCCTTTCTTTCCATCCATCCCTCCTTTTTCTTCCTTTTCTCTTCCTTCCTTGCCCTTCTTCTTTCCATCCATTCCCTCCTTTTTCTTCCTTTTCTCACCCTTCCTTTCCCTTCATCTTTCTTTCCATCCTTTTCCCTTCCCTCCTTCTTTCTTTCCATCCGTTCCCTCCCTTTTCCCCGTCTAGAGACATCTCCTTTCACCGCCCAGTCGCTCAGACGTTCGAGCGGCTGGAAGAGCCGGTGCCTCCTCCGCAGCTTTCGTGTCCTGCTGCGCGCTATCGGTATTACTGTATGGCTAGCATAATTGTGCCCTCACCTTTTCGTTTCTTGATTACTAAGGCCGCTCTCCGCACTGCCTGGCGCCGGCTACAACTCACTTCCTCACTATTTCTTTTTCTCGAACGACATCGAGTATCCTTGTTCCCTCTCATGCCGCTCTCGCTTTTTACGGCTTATAGCCCGACCGGTCGTCGCGCTCGCCGTTTGGACTGTATCTCCTGCGTGCTTAGTGGCGTATTCCACACCGGCCACCCCGGATAGGTTTGCCTATTAGCACTCCGGCTGGATATTCACGCTGTTGGCCCTTTCCCCGTGGCAGGTCACGAATACCCTCCCAACGGTTATCATCCTCTGTGCCAGTGGCCCTGACCAAAGTTCTCACACGTCCCCGCACGAACATGATCCATGCGCGCAACCCGTACCGAACTTCTTTTTGCAAATGCTCCCCTGGTCACCGCGAAACCTGGGGTTCCAGGCTCAGCGTGAGTCCAAGATCACACCCAAGCTGCGAACCTGCGTCTTCAGGGGGAGTGCGGCCCCATCCAACACAGCTGTAACCCTATGCCCTGTTCGGCCTTGCGACTGACCAGGAGTACCTCTGTCTTGTCTGGATTCAATTTCAATTTGTTCGCCCTCATCCAGACCGTCACAGCGGCCAAGCACCGGTTCAGGACCTGGACAGCCTCCTTAGTAGCAGGTGGGAAGGAGTGACAGAGTTGGACATCATCTGCGTACAGATGACATCGCACTCCGAAACTCCGGATGATCTCGCCCAGCGGCTTCATGTAGATGTTAAACAACATGGGAGACAGTATTGAACCCTGAGGAACCCCAAATGCGGTAAATAAATAGCCCCCAACAACACCTTCTGAGATCGACCCTCCAGGAATGAGCGGAGCCACTGCAGAACAGTACCTCCAAGACCCATCCCCGCGAGGCGTCCCAGAAGGATACCGTGGTCGACGGTATCGAAGGCCGCTGAGAGGTCAAGCAGCACCAACAGGGACACACTCCCCCTGTCGAGCTCCCGACACAGATCATCCACTAAGGCGACCAAGGCTGTCTCGGTACCATGCCCCGGCCTAAAGCCAGACTGTGCCGGGTCCAGATAATCCATGTCTACCAAGAATGCCTGGAGTTGTGAGGCCACCACGCAATAATATAATATATTATTATTATAGTATATTATTATTGTATATTATATTATATTATTATTATATTACATTATATTACATTAAACCGTTTCAAACCGGTTTAAAGACTGGATTCTTACTTCGGATTGTTTTTGGATGTTTCCTTCTGACTTAATCTTCTGCTTTTGGACATGCTGTGGTCTTGGGACATATTATATAGATATAATATATACAATTATAATATAATATAATAATAATATAATATAATAATACACAATTATAACATATATAATATAATATAAATATAATATGTAATAACATAATATAATATAAAATATTATATTATATTATATATATTATATTATAATATAATATAATATAATATAATATAATATATAATATATATTATATTATATATTATTATACTGTATTATAATTAAGCTGTTCCTCCTAATCCTCCTCCTCCTGATTCTTCTCCTCCAGCTGGCTGCAGGATTCTGAGTTATATGGCTGGGTGGAAAGGTCCTGGGTTATGTGAGACCACACTGCCATATAATCCAGTTCAAAGCACGTATTGGGGGATTTTCTGCTTTGAGATTAGTTATATGGCTGTGTGGAAAGTTGGGTTATGTGAGACCACACTGCCATATAATCCAGTTTAAAGCAAAGCACGTATTGGGGGATTTTCTGCTGTGATATTAGTTATATGGCTGTGTGGAAAGGTCCTGGGTTATGTGAGACCACACTGCCATATAATCCAGTTTAAAGCACGTATTGCAGGATTTTCTGCTTTGAGATTCTGAGTTATATGGCTGTGTGGAAAGGTGGGTTATGTGAGACCACATTCCTGATAGTTCGGCTGATCGGCTGATCAGTAAACATATTCATGAATTTCCTGCTGTTATATTAAGACTCTTACCCATGCTGTGACAGTAATCTCCCCCTCCCCCCCCCCCCGTTTAAAAAGTTTGAAGACCCCTGATATATAGTAATAAATAATAGTTTGAAGCTGCTGGCCAGGAAGACAGCATGAGGAAAGAGGAGGGAAGCAGCAGAGCAAAGGTGGCTGGCAGGAGGGGAGAGACTGGAAGTGGGGTAAATGCGCCGCTTGCTAGCTTGCTACCGGGGAGGGAAGAGAAACGGAGAGATTGTAAAACTTGCACCAGACATACAAAATAATTACAAAATAATTACGAAAATTGGAAAAAAAAATCGAATCTAAAAAACTCCTCACAATATTCCAGTATGGCACAATATCGGATCGTAAACTAATTTAAATACGAATTAATAACAAATTACGAAATTAACGAACGAAACCACTCAGCCCTAATGGGCAGCAATGTCAGGAGAGAATGCTAAGATGCTGAGCCTGCTCTCCTGCAGATTCATCATCCCATCTGGGTGCCGACAGGTTATTATTTGAAGGAATGCAGCTAAAGAATGCTTAATGGGTCTCCAAGTTAGCAAACCATGTCTCAGGGGGATCTCAGTGAGTAAGTCAAGGGGCCAAAGTCACTTGGGTCTCTCTACTTATTTACAAAGGGGTGAACATGTGGTGCGGCAAGAAATAATACCAAACTTACAAGCCGGCTTTTTTGTGGGTTGGGCAACTAAATATGGCCTCGGAGCATGGCATTGTCCTATCATGGTGCCCAGAGGATGATTATTGGAAAGCATGTGGCTGGAACAAGTTTTCTATAGGATAAGAACACTTAATGGGCCTCCCAAGGTAACACGTCACACCTTGGGGTCTTTAAATTGGGAAGCCAAGGGAGCCAAAATCACTTGGGTGTTTTTCTCAATCGCTGGCAGTATGGAAGGTTTCTTCACTGGAAAAGAGGCATACGGGAAACATTTTGATCCAAAGGATTATTTCAATCTCTACATGTCATTCTGTGCGGGCATCCAGGAAATGTTCCACAAGGCCTTCTTTGTGGGTGAGTGTCTCTTTTTGTCTCAGAGCAGAGAAGCCAAGAGTCCCAGTGTCAAAGAATATGGATCCATAGCCTTGGGCAGAAGAGAAAATGACCAAAACAGGGAAGGAAATGTTGGGGAGCATCAGAGGGAGCTGCCAGACAGTGCCAAAACATGGGATTAATATGCGAGATTAACAAACCCGGGACTTCAGGGATGCTTCCAGACAGCACCAAAATGCGGGATTAAAAAGAGGGACAAATAAACCTGGGACCTGAGAGCATATCCCCACATAGACTTGCTGCTCCTGGGCTTTCTTCCCCTGCTGTCCTCAAAGCCCTTCTGTGTCTCAGGATAAAAGGGAGGGTGGATGGGGGCAATCTGACGGAAGATGCTTATATGCGTACATGCGAATATCCTAATACAAATACAGGGACATTTCATGTTTTCTTTGAAATGTAGACGGCATCCGAGGAGACACCCTGATTGACATCGGCAGCGGTCCCTGCATCTACCAACTGCTCTCTCCATGTGACTCCTTCAGGGAGATCATTGTTACTGATTTCCTTGAGCAGAACCGGGCGGAGATACAGAAGTGGCTGAAGAAGGACCCGGAAGCCCTTGACTGGACAACCATGGTGAAATATACCTGCCAGCTGGAGGGGGACAGGTACAGATTGGTATCTAATGGTTGGCTATGTTTCCATTTCCATCCATTAATAAGAAGAGAAGGGGATCTGTGAGCCTTTCATAATGTATCAGGGCTTCAATTCACGTTGGCTATGGGTTCTGGGACTTTCTGTCCAACAATGTCTGGAGGGTGCCATGTTTCGTAAGCCCATAAGTATTGACTGAAAGAGTTTTGACTGTTTTGAAGATCAGTAGGATGTGGTTGAAGTCCATAAATGTCTAACAATTTCTTAGACCGAAAGATGACACAAGACTCTTGCTTGATTTCCCTGAAGGCTCTGCCACCAGCTCTGAGCATTTACCCACAACTTGCTACTTTCCATTTAACTCACTGTGTTGTTTATTCATTCAGTCACTTCCAACTCTTTGTGACCTCATGGACCAGCCCATGCCAGAGCTCCCTGTCGACCATCACCACCCCCAGCTCCTTCAAGGTCAAGCCAGTCACTTCAAGGGTACCATTCACCCACCTTGTGCTTGGTTGGCCCCTCTTCCTTTTTCCTTCCATTTTCCCCAGCATCATTGTCTTCTGCAAGCTTTCTTGTCTTCTCATTATGTGGCCAAAAAGTTTCAGAGAAGGCCCTGTCTCTCATCCCCACCAATCGCAACTGCGGACGCGACTCTAATATCCTTCCCTCCAATGAGCAGTCGGGCTTTATTTCCTGGAGGATGGACTGCTTGGATCTTCTGGTGGTACCAGGCACTCTCAGAACTTTCCTCCAACACCACAGTTCCAAAGCACCTCTTCCTTCACTCGGCCTTCCTTATGGTCCAGCTCTCACCTCAGTAGGTTACTACGGGGAATACCATTGTTTGACTATGCAGATCTTCGTTGCCAGTGTGATGTCTCTACTCTTCACTATTTTGTCAAGAAGTAAGGATCTTCTGATTTCCTGGCCACAATCTGCGTCTGCAGTCATCTTTGCACCTAGAAATGCAAAGTCTGTCCCTGCCTCTACGTTTTCTCCAACTATTTGCCAGGTATCAATCAGTCTGGTTGCCATGATCTTGGTTTTTTTTATGTTTAACTGCAACCCAGCTTTTGCACTTTCTTCTTTCAGCTTGATTAGAAGGCTCCTCAGTTCCTCCTTGCTTTCGGCCACCAAAGTGGTATCATCTGCATATCTAAGATTTAACTCACTAGTGAACATTTAAGCTAGTGTGCATCTGCACTCTAGCCGATCCCTAAGGCTTGTCTTTCAGCTGGGCTTTTGATGTGTTCCTTCCAACCTTTCCCAAGGATTTTCCAATGTAGGTCCTGTGCCAATTTCACCTTTTCACGCCTGCTCTGCTTGTTGAGGTATGAGATATTAAGCGTGCTTACCTAATGTAGTGCAAACAGCCACTTCATTTTAACTTGATGCTTCCAAGAGGAAAGAGATGCCTCCATGGTTGTTTATGGTCATTCTCCCGTTTCGTTCCTTGTAGGGAGAAGTGGAAGGAAAAGGAGGAGAAACTCAGGAGGACCATCAAGCAAGTCCTGCCGTGCGACGTGACCCTGGCCAATCCCTTGGATCCTTTGGTGCTCCAGCCAGTCGACTGCCTCATCTCTTCTTTCTGCCTGGATTCGGTTTGCAAAGATCTTCCTGCTTACTGTTCGGCTGTGAAGAATGTGGGCTCCTTGGTCAAACCTGGGGGGCACCTCATCTTTGTGGTGAATGTGGAGATAACCTACTACATGCTTGGCCCACATAAGTTCAGTTGCCTTTGCCTGACACCAGAAATGATCAGAGATGCTGTGAAAGGGGCCGGCTTTGAAATCCTGTGGTCTCAAAGCCTTGGGTTGCTCACTCCTGCGTCGGTGTGTGATGCCAAAGACACAATTTTCCTGGTGGCCAAGAAACCTAGCGAATCCCAGTGAGTTAGTGGGGAAAGAACCAAAGCCGACCAAAGGAACACCATAAATGAAGCTCATTCTCCAGACCTTTGAGCTCTAGATTGGAAACACACAAAGAAGACCCCATATTTACTTGAGTCTAATGCGCAATTTTCAGAACCCTGAAACCCCAAAAAGCATTTATCATATTACACAAATCTAATGTGCACCCTAATTTGGGGAAGGTAATTTGGTCAAAGAAGGTGAGCATTAGATTTGAGTAAATATGGTATATTGTTTTATGCCAAGATGGCTGATAGATCATATTTCTGTAACTTAGTGAAGTTTTGCCTCAGACTTAATGGAGTTGTCCCAGGTGCTGAAATGGCCCCAGGACCTTGGAGAGCTCTTTTAAGACCAGGCAAAACCTGGAAGGGATGCCCTGGCCTCCTGACTTGGGAACCACCAGTCACTCTGCAGTAATTGCCATTGTGGAACTACAAATCCCACAACATGCCAGTGACTGTGCATTCTTGTGCAGTCTGGATATTGGAATCTTTAGAAAAATAACCCTGTGCCAAGCACTACAAATAGATTATGACTTGGGCAAGAGCCAAAAATGAACTAAGTTTTGCTTTGTAATACCAAGTACTGCATTTCTGTCTTTGGATGTATCCACAACCTAGAATTAAAGTTATTCAACAGCAATAACACATCGCTGTCAAAGTGCTATAAATACATTTTGGAGCTACAAATCCCAATACTTGCCAGTGGCTGTGCATTCTTGTGCAGTCTGGATATTGGAATCTTTTTAAAAAGTAACCCTGTCCCAAACATTACAAATAGTTTATGACCTGGGGAAGAGCCAACCAGAATTATTATTTTTTGTATTACCAAATACAGTTCTCATTTTCTCCAGATGTTCCTGCTGAGCCATATAACCAGATGTGATTCTTAATTTGGTAGAAATGGCCACTGATACTGATTCTCTACGAACCATGATATATCAGCTTACATTTCAAAACAAAGTTAGAGATGACTGGAAATATAAAGGGCCATTTTTAGTGTTTGTTAAGACCTCTAGCATTCATATACAAATGATTGTGTGTGTGTGTATTGTCAACTTTTTTCAATCCATGTATGACAAGGCAGAATGACTGCATCATGTTTGAGATGTGTAATATCTATATAGAGATATACCTGCCTCATTTTGGCCTGCATGTTAGAGATGTCTTCTTCATGTCTACCTTGTATTTGGTGAATTGTGGGTGGTGTTTCATGAAATGAACAAGAATGCCAATGTATTGGGTGTGGGATATTTAAAATGTGCCCCATCACAGCATTTGTGGATACAAAATCAAGTGTATGCTTCTTAAACGTCTCAGGAAGTGTTCAGTATTGATTAAACATACAATAGATACGTCTTGTGTTGTGTTGGTCTTTCTGGTGCACGTGTCTTTGTGCCTTCAAATTGCCTTTTACTATATGGAGACTCCATGTATTTTCTCAGGCAAGGGATCCTCAGAGGTGGTTTGGCCCATTCCCTCCTCTGAAACAGAGCCTACAATACTGTGACCCATTGAAAAGCAGAATGCCGCTCCAGTTTGGGAAAAGACCAGAGGTCACCTCAGTCTCAAATCAATGAGCTGAGATCACTTTATTAGAGCTGGATTTATAGAATAAGCTAAAAACATGACTCAATATTTAGGACTGTATTTCTAAAGGGGCATACATGGGCAGCAACGTCAGGTGAGAATGCTGAGATTGTGAGCCTGCTTTCCTGTGGGTTCATCATCCCATCCAGGATCCAGAGGGTTATGATTTGAAAGAATGTGGTTAAAGTAAGTTTTCTATACATCAAAACAGGGGTGCTTAATGGATCTCCCAAGTTAGCAAACCATGCCTCAGGGGCCCTTAAGTGTGGAAGCAAAGGGGCCAAAGTCACTTGGGTGTTTCTACTCACGAGGGTTGCTCATTAAAGATTTCCCCCGACCCACTTCCTTTGTACTGGGAGCAGTGAAACTTGGCCCAGTTCTGAGTCCTTCTCTCCATGGGTGCCACCGAGGAACACACAATGTATCATCTAATGCTTTCATGGCCGCAGTCACTGGGTTGTTGTAGGTTTTTTTGGGCTATATGGCCATGTTCTAGAGGCATTCTCTCCTGACGTTTCACCTGCATCTATGGCAAGCATCAGCATAGGTAGTGAGGTCTGTTGGAACTAGGAAAAAAGGTTTATATATCTGTGGAATGACCAGGGTGGGACAAAGAACTTTTGTCTGTCTTTCCACAGATATATAAACCCTTTTTTCCTAGTTCCAACAGACTTCACAACCTCTGAAGATGCCTGCCATAGATGCAGGTGAAACTTCAGGAGAAAATGGCTCTAGAACATGGCCATATAGCCTGAAAAAACCTACAACAACCCAGAGGGACACACACTCCTCCCTTCTTTTTAAGCAACTCTAAACACCTCACTTGCAGAAGTTGACAGGTTGCTCCAAAAGCCTCTTAGTGACTTTGGAAATCATCGTCTCATTATCTGAGAAATGTTTGGCCTTCAAACCTAACTTCCTTGTTGGAAAGAGGTGGGAGTCCAATGGCGCAAGGTCAGGTGAATCAAGGGGAACACAGTAGAATTTCAAAGCTTGCTTCTTCAATTTGGTCAACATAGGAGTTGTGAACTGGTACATTGTTTTGCAGAAGGTAGAGGACACCTTTGGTGAGCATGCCACATTGTCTCTTGGTTTGGATGGCCTCCCACAGTTTCTGCAGCAGTGAAGCCTAGTCTGCCCCAGTGATCCTGGTCCCCTTTGCTAGGAAATCTATCAATTCTACTCCATGCTGGTCCCAAAATACATGACCTTGCCAGCCAAGAGTTGGGCACGTGCCTTCTTTGGAAGCGGTGAGTCAGGATGCTTCCATTGCATTGACTGGACTTGAGTCTCAGGATCAGAGTGATGGACCCAGCTTTCACCCTGTGGGATCAGTCTGTTCAAAAAGTCCTCCTGGTTTCCATGGCACATCATTGTCAAGAGAGCCTGAGAGCATTTGACTCGTTCCTGCTTCTGGAAAAGTGTGAGCAGCCGGGGGGTTCAGTGAGAGGATACCTTATTCATGGGAAGATGGTCTTGGGTGATTTTCTCCGCAGACCCCACACTCATCTTGACATTTTGGGCTCGGTGGCAAATGGTTATGTGGCGATTTCCCAAAATGGTGACCTCCACTTGCTGGATGGTGTGTTCCTCAATAGCAGAGTGGGGTCACCTGGAATTGGTGCTGTTTGCACCCAATCCGACCACATTGGAATGGACGATGCCAGTTCTTGACTCCATCATATGATGGGGAATCCTCACCATCAACCTCTTTCACCTCATCAAACATCTCCTTTGGTGTGCAGCCTCTCAAAGAAAGGAACTTGAGACCTGCTCTAGATTCCACTGAGTCCATTCTCAAACCTCACTCCACTTCCACACCTGTAACATCAAGTTCAGAGTTGTAAATTGGCACATAACCGTTCTCAGTTCAGAGTTGTAAATTGGCACATAACCTATAGAGACTTCTATCATTACACATAATAATAATAATAATAATAATTATTATTATTATTATTATTATTATTATTATTTATTTATATCCCGCCATCATCTCCCCAAGGGGACTGGGGGCAGATTACATGAGGTCAAGCCCAACAACACATCAATAAAACAACAATCAGTAAGCAAATAAAACAATACAATTAATATAACTCTCATATAGGCAATAACACACACAAAATTAAAACCTATGGCCGGGCCAGATGTAATAGATTAAAATTTTAAAATAAACACTGGGCGTGAACAGAGGTAGGATGTATCTAAGCAGGAGGGTTTTAAAGGATAGCGTAGGGAGATCAACCCAACGGGTAACGTGCTTCTGAGGACATTTTGCAGGCAATTGGTCAGAGCAGGGGATTGTTTCCTTTATTCAGGGAAGGCACACTGGAACAGCCACGTTTTCAGGCTCCTCTTAAAGACTGCCAAGGTGGGGGCTTGTCTGATATCCTTAGGAAGTGAGTTCCAGAGTCAGGGGGCCACCACAGAGAAGTCCCTTGTCCCCACCAATCGCATGCGCAGTTTCAGCGTCCAGTGATGAATAGAAATGGGTCAGGCAAAATCCTTAATGAACGCCCCTTGTATTTACAAAGGAAGGAATGTGGTTGTAACATGTGGCATAGCATGAAATAATACCAAATTTAGGAGCCAGCTTTTCTGTGGGTTGGGCAATACAATGTGGCCTCGGAGCACTGCATTGTCCTATCATGGTGCCCGGAGGGTGATTATTAGAAGGAATGAAGCTGTAACAGGTTTTCGATAGGATAAGAAAGAACATTTAATGGGCTCCCCCAGGGTAGCAAGCCATGCCTTGAGGCCTTTAAATTGGGAAGCCAAGAGGGCCAAAGTCATTTGGATGTTTCTCTCAATTGCGGGTAGTATGGGAGGGGGTTTCACTGGAAAAGAGGATTACAAGCGTCATTTCTAGCCAAAGGTTTAATTCAATGTCCACATGCCTTGTGGCTCCATCATTCTCCAGATCTTTGAGCTCTAGATCAGAAACACACAAAGAAGGACCCATATACTCAAGTCTTATGTGCCATTTTCAAAACCCTAAAACCCAAAAAACTATTTACCATATTACATGATGCTTAATTCACACTCTAATCTTGTTGAGGATTGCTGGGAGTTGCAGTCCACAAATAGGAAATTGGAAATATGCAGGGATTGGGATGCTTGCGAAGAAATCCAAGGAGAAGAAACCTTGCATCTTGGAATCAGTGCATTTGGATCCTCCTCCTCTCCTAAAGGGCCTTCTCTAGGGAATTCTGGGAGCTGTAGTCCAAAAGGGAATGTGGATATGCTATTGTGTGTTTGTTTGCCAGGGGGAGTTGTTTTTGCTCATGTGCTGTAGCATCTTTTGGGGGGCTTTTGGCTTTTGAAGTCCCTTCCGTTGTGTTTTCAGTGTTTTTATAAGTGAGGGTCACTCATTGGTCTGTTAGGTGTGTTGTTGTTGTTCATTCGTTCAGTCGTCTCCGACTCTTCGTGACCTCATGGACCAGCCCACGCCAGAGCTCCCTGTTGGCCGTCACCCCCAGCTCCTTCAAGGTCAGTCCAGTCACTTCAAGGATGCCATCCATCCATCTTGCCCTTGGTCGGCCCCTCTTCCTTTTTCCTTCCACTTTCCCCAGCATAATTGTCTTCTCCAGGCTTTGCTGTCTCCTCATGATGTGGCCAAAGGACTTCCACTTTGTCACTAGTATCCTTCCCTCCAGTGAGCCCTGTTAGGTGTATTGTGTCCAAATTTTGTGTCAATTCATCCAGTGGTTTTTGAGTTATGTTACTCCCACAAATGAACATTACATACACACACACACACACACACACACATATATATAGTCAACTCTTTTCAGTCAAAGGCAGAATGAGTACATCACGTTTAAGAAAGCCTACAGAACTGTAGCCCGTTGAAAAACAGGATGCAGCTCCAGTTTGGGAAAGAGAATGCTAAGATGGTGAGCCTGCTTTCCTGCAGGATCATCATCCCATTTGTGTGTGGCGGGTTATTATTTGAAGGAATGCTGCTAAAGAATGCTTCATGGGCCTCCCAAGTTAGCAAACCATGGTTCAGGGGAACTCAAGGGGCCAAAGTCACTCAGATATCTCTACTTATTTGTTGTTGTTCATTCGTTCAGTCGTCTCCAACTCTTCGTGACCTCATGGACCAGCCTACGCCAGAGCTCCCTGTCGGCCGTTACCACCCCCAGCTCCCTCAAGGTCAGTCCAGTCACTTCAAGATGCCATCCATCCATCTTGCCCTTGGTCGGCCCCTCTTCCTTTTGCCTTCCACTTTCCCCAGCATAATTGTCTTCTCTAGGCTTTCCTGTCTCCTCATGATGTGGCCAAAGTACTTCAACTTTGTCTCTAGTATCCTTCCCTCCAGTGAGCAGCCGGGCTTTACTTCCTGGAGGATGGACTGGTTGGATCTTCTCGCAGTCCAAGGCACTCTCAGAACTTTCCTCCAACACCACAGCTCAAAAGCATCGATCTTCCTTCGCTCAGCCTTCCCTAAGGTCCAGCTCTCACATCCGTAGGTGACTACAGGGAAGACCATGGCTTGGACTAGGCAATGGATCTTTGTTGCCAGTCTGATGTCTCTACTCTTCAATATTTTATCGAGACTGGACATTGCTCTCCTCCCAAGAAGTAAGCGTCTTCTGATTTCCTGGCTACAGTCTGCATCTGCAGTAATCTTTGCACCTAGAAATACAAAGTCTGTCACGGCCTCCACGGTTTCTCCCTCTATTTTCCCTCTACTTATTTACAAAGGGGTAAACGTGTGGTGTCGCAAGAAATAATACCAAACTTACAAGCCCGGTTTTTTGTGGGTTGGGCAACAAAATAAGGCCTCGGAGCACTACATTGTCCTACCATAGTGCCCGGAGGATAATTATTTGAAGGAATGTGGCTATAACAAGTTTTCTATCTGATTAGAAAGAACAACTAATGGGCCTCCGAAGGTAACAAGCCATACCTTGGTGTCTTTAAATTGGGAAGCCAAGAGGGCCAAAGTCACTTGGGTGTTTCCTTAATTGCAGGCAGCATGGAAGGGGGCTTCACTGGAAAAGAGGCTTACAGGCAGCATTTTGATCCAAAGGGCTATTTCGATATCTACATATCTTGTGAGTCTGTCAACTCTTCCGTTTGCGATCCAATGTGTGCGGTCCTCCAGGAAAAGCTCCACAAGACCTTCTTTGTGGGTGAGTGTCTCTTCTTGTCTCAGAACAGAGAAGCCAAGAGGCCCAGTGCCTCCCCATGTCAAGGAACATGGATCCACTGCCTTAGGCAGAAGAGAACAGGGAAACAGGGAAGGAAATGTGGGGGAGCATCAGAGGGCACTTCCAGGCAGTGCCAAAACATGGGATTAATATGCGGGATAAACAAACCCAGGATCTCGCGGAGCTTCCAGACAGTGCCAAAATGAGGGATTAAAAAGAGGGGCAAATAAACCTGGGATCTGAGAACACGTCCCCACATAGACTTGCCACTCCCGGGCTTTCTTCCCCCACCATCCTCAAAGCCCTTCTGTGTCTCAGGATAAAATGGAGGTTGGATGGGGGCCATCCGATGGAAGATACTTATATGTGTACATGCAAATATCCTAATACAAATATGGAGAGATTCCTGTGTATGTATTTAAGGATCAGCGCATAGCAGAGGGATTATTTTTAATGATTTCCCTCTTTCCCCAGTTGCTTATTCATGATCTATTTAATATTCTAAAGTTTAAAATAAACACTTTCAGAGACCACTAATGGCTCTCTGCTTCTCCTCTCTTGAAACCAGCTGGAAACCAGATGGGAGCCCGAGCGGCCAATCAGCGGTTCCCAGCTTTTTCAAACTAGCACAGAGTGGGAAGCCCTCTTTGCTCTCTACAAAGTTCATGACTGTAGGGCCACACAGTTATGGGAAAATACACTTTTTCCTCCTGGGACTGGGATAAAAGAAGACCTTTTTGAATTGTATTTTCCCTCCGTTGCTGTGATTGAGGGTGCATTTAGCACAAACGTCATTTGGCCACACACCTCTCCTTTTAAACCATTTTCTCCCCAATTATAGGTACTATCTGGAAGCTCCCAAAGATAGAAGAAACAGGATGCCACAGGTGGTAAAGGAGGGGGGCACACTCAAAAGCCCAGTGCCCTCCATGTCAAAGAGATAGAATGGAGAGTTTTGTGTAAAATGGGACACATGGAAGAAAACACCAGCTGAAGGGAGGGAGGACATGTAGAGAAAAGAGACCATCAGGGACAGCAGACAGGAAGATTTCATGTTTTCTTTGAAACACAGACGGCATCCAAGGAGACACCCTGATTGACATCGGCAGCGGTCCCTCCATCTACCAACTGCTCTCTGCATGTGAGTCCTTCAGGGAGATCATCACCACTGATTTACTCGAGCAGAACCAGGCGGAGATACAGAAGTGGCTGAAGAAGGACCCGGAAGCCCTCGACTGGACCCCCATGGTGAAATACGTCTGCCAGCTGGAGGGGGACAGGTACAGATTGGCATCTAATGCTTGGCTATGTTTCTGTTTCCATCCATTAATAAGAAGAGGATTCGTGAGCCCTTCACAATGTATCAGGACTTCAGTTCGCATTGGCTATGGTTTCTGGGACTTTCTGTCCAACAATGTCTGGAGGGTGTCATGGTTCCTAAGCCCATAAGTATTGACTAAAAGAGTTTTGAGTGTTTTGAAGGGCAATAGGATGTGGTTGAGGTCCATAAATGTCTAACCATTTCTTAGACTGAAAGATGACTTTTGCTTGATTTCCCTGCAGGCTCTGCCGCCGGCTCTGAGCATTTACCCACAACTTGCTACTTTACATTTAACTCACTAGTCAACGATTAAACTAGTGTGCATCTGCACTCTAGCTGATCCCGAAGGCTTATCTTTCAGCTGGGCTTTTGATGTGTTGCTTCCAACCTTTCCCAAGGATTTCCCAATGTAGGTCCTGTGCCAATCTCACCTTTTCATGCCTGCTCTACTTGTTCCATCACTTTTGGGGTATGAGATATTGTTGTCGAGCAATTTAGAATGGCAGTGGATAGAGAGACCCAAGCCATTGTGGGTTACCTGGTGAGAAAGAGAAGCCAGTATTCCAGGATAAATCTCACCAAGTTGAAGAGAAAGCCACCGAGGTTTTTATTTAATTCAAACGATGACGATGGCATTAGCTTGCCAAAAAAAATCGACATGCTCACTGGGCAAAAAGATACAATATTTATAGCCTTCAGATTCAAAAGTTCTCATGCCCACCCCTCCCCCCCCCCAAGCTGGTTTTGTTATGATTGGCTGTGACATCAGCAAGCCAGCAGGAGAGCCAATGGTGGCCTGAGCCCTGCTTTGGCCTCTCAGACAATGAGGTGGAAGGGAAGCAGGCAACAAGGGAAACAATGAAAAAATGTCTAGTTGTCAGGATTAAGGTGACCAATGTTTGCGTAGTGATTCAGTGATAGCTTAGCTCTCAAGCCAGAATCTGGAGTTATTGTTTTAATCTTTTGCATCATCATCTCTGTCTAGCCCCCAAGGAGCTAGATCAGTGTTTCTCAACTTGGGGGTTGGGACCCCTGGAGGGGTTGCGAGGGGTGTCAGAGGGGTCGCCAAAGACCATCGGAAAACACAGTATTTCCTGTAGATCATGGAGGTTCTGTGTGGGAAGTCTGGCCCAATTCAATCATTGGTAGGGTTCAGAATGCTCTTTGATTGTAGGTGAACTACAAATCCCAGCAACTA